CTACCTCTATCGCTTGCTCTCTCTCTATCTCTCTCGCTCGCTCGCTCACAGAGGCTGTGTGCTCCTCCGTGGCGATGACGGCTTGCGTTAAAAAATTATAATAAACATAGGCCTATTTGTAAAGTGGGGGGACACAAAGGGGATTTTGAAAAGTGTCACGGTTAAACTCCTTGTGAAGTGGTGAGGTGCCGCTCCACATTGCTTTTNACAAGATCTGAGTACTTCTACTTTTACTCAAGTACAAGATCTGAGTACTTCTACTTTTTCTCAAGTACATGATCTGAGTACTTCTACTTTTACTCAAGTACAAGATCTGAGTACTCGTCCCACCTCTGTAAAGTATGAGTAATATTCCCTCAAAGAAATACTAGTAGATAAAACTATCGATGGTTGAAGAAGTACTCAGTCGTACTTCAATAAAAAAGTAGAATACAGTAAGTTAAAAATACTTCACTGCCAGTTCAAGTATTGTATACATTTACTTAAATGTAAAATGTTGTCATTCTGAAAGTGCTATTTAAAATATATTCATCAAAATTGAGTAATGTGTTTATTATTATGCACCAGGGACGTGCACAGGTACGGGCTAATGTTGCCCGGGCAACGGCCCCTTTGGCTGACCTGCCCCTCTGGAGAGAGCGAGAGTTTGTTTTTCTTTTTTCTGTTGTGGCCGAATCAACATGATGAGCCCACAATTAGTATCGTAGCGAACACACTTTGTCAGCGCTCTCATCTTCCGGTGCGTTAAGACCACCTCAGTGTCGGATTTAGAAAACTTGATTTTGAGTTGTCTCATGGCAGTTAGGGTATAAGGGACAAACCAGGGGACTTTACTTCCTCTTGATACCGGCGGTTATTTACAAAAAAACACCTAAATATAGCCTACTTGTTGCTATTGTGCTTCTGTCTTTCTGTGTCTTTTCATCTGTAAACTCCCTCAACGCTCGCTCTCTTTTCTTGATCGCCCTCTCACGGGTGAACAGTTCAATGTCCCGCTTCATTGTAGGAATTCTGCCATGTCTCTACTTTAGTTTGACCATCTCTGTTATTAAGTTATGGAATACTAAATAAATAAGTAATTAGATACCTTACCGTTACTGCGCTCATAAAGAATGATAAGAATAAGAATAATGTGAATTGAACTGGTTTCATTAATTAGTGAGTTTATTTAAGGTAATTAGTTAGAGGCCCTATTTTATCAGTATGTCTGGACTGCAGTTACAATGATCAAACTACATTAGAACAGAATTGTCCCCATTTTGTATTTAATAGTTACTAACATTAGACTTTTTTGATGAGATATGGACCGCAAAAAAAAAAGTCAATGCTTTTCATTTTTAAAATCAAGTTACCGAATGCAAGTAGTCGCCTTAGCTTATTTTTTTATAAGATGTGAATTACTGTTCTATTTAGTTGATGTAATAATAGTTTGGTTTCTTTTACATTAAAAACAAGTTACAATTTTCAAAAGATCTTGTTTTTTATCGGGGGGAGGCCTTTTTTCCAGTTTAGAGCAATAGCCCCTCCAAATGTCTGTGCACGTCCTTGTTATGCACATTATGATATTGTCAAACTGAGGACGCCGGTTCGAGTCCTGCCTTCAAAATAAAAGCAGTGGAAGCAAAGATGTACTTAAAGTAGCTAAAGTACTCTGTGCAAAATGCTGTAATTCAGGATGTGCATCAATAATGTATTTTCCACTGATGCATGCACGATATATATATATATATATATATATATATATATAGATCTATCTATCTATCTATCCATCTATCTATCTATTTATCTATATATCTATCTATCTATTTATATCTATCTATCTCTATCAATCTATCTATCTATATATCTATATATATTCATCTATATATCTATCTATCCATCCATCTATCTATCTATCCATCTATCTATCTATCTATCTATCTATCTATCTATCTATCTATCTATCTATCTATCTATCTATCTATCTATCTATCTATCTATCTATCTATTTATCTATCTATCAACCTATCTATCTATCTATCTATCTATCTATCTATCTATCCATCTGGTTATTTTCTGATGGTGTGCTTATGTAAATTATGTGCTCACTTTCTGCCCCATCCGTTGAAGGATGCATTACCAACTCTTCCTGTTTTATTTGCTGTATTTAACCAGGTTTTACCGATCAGGCTCTGATATATAAAGATGCATCCTCTATTGTGAGTCCTCAGCCTCCATCAGCCGCCTGATTGACGCTTCTATTCACCTTTAAGTGCCGCCTTTACACTGCCTTCACGGCTTTTATTTTCAAATGGACGTTTCGTTTTAAAGCAATCCCTTTGACTCAGCCTTTTCACTGCCACTTGGAGGTAGAAATATAGAAATAAACGTGGAAATAATAACAGCATATGGCCCCGTTCTTTCCCTCCCACTCTCTCAGGGCTGCGACTGTATTACAGAAAAAGCTTTTCAGCACAGGAACATGTTTCCATATCAAAAGGAGACAACAACAGGACTTCTATCACATTCATGCATGCAGGTGAGCCGAAAACTCATCCTTGTGTGCTGTGAAACGCAAAATAAAATGCTTCAAATTCAAATTGTGCCCACTTGTAAAGTATTTGAGCTGGAATGTAGAAAGGCAATTCAATTTAATTTGAATTTTAAATCTAAAATCCTGTTTTGCTTTTGGTATCACTGGAAATGTGTATGGAATAATAACTGTAACCTACACCTGCTGAGTATAAAGCTCTGATTCTATATTCGACTTATGCTTATGCTTAATGTGCTTTGAGGACATAGTCTTTTTTGACCATCACACCCTCCAAACCTGCCCCAACAATTTTTTTAAACAGGAATCATAAATATGTAAAAGTATCTAATGGCATGTCTATCCTGGATATATATAATGTTCCATTTTAAATTGGGTGCAAAACAATTGGAAATTGGGCCACATGTGCAAAGATCCATTGTTGAGCACAACTCTTTGTAGAACACACAGACACACACACACACACACACACACACACACACACACACACACACACACACACACACACACACACACACACACACACACACACACAGGTAAGGAATTTATGCTCAGACAACACAGGACAGAAATAGAGCTATACCACCAATCTCCCGCAGAATGACAAACCATTAAAGGGAATTTGGCACATATGGCACATTATTGCAGGCATGAACAAAAATTAACTTGTTCATGAAACATTATCAAAAGTCTCTCCGAAAGTAGACTTGTTTTCCCCTCAATGATATTAAATTGAAATAAAACATATTAGCTTCAACTTGATATCATTGCGTTATGTGATGTCGAATCTGTGGACATAATACATTTAATTAAGATCAGCGGTTCAGTTTTTTCAGTGCGAACCACAGTTTATTAAAAAAGAATAAAACGATAATAAAATATTATTTGCAGTATACGGTTAAACAATTAAAAAATATATAACGTATAAAGTCCTACATTTAAAAAACAGAACATTTGAAATTGCATTCTTAATTTAGATAATGTTTTATGATTTGGTTTGAGCAGTGTGCAGTCGGGAGTTAATGCCGGATAAATATTTGTATCCACGTTGAATTATTGTAATTATTTTTCCTCGTGCATGTGGACACGAAGGTGGGCTCGCATTGTGCAGATGAGTGAAATCGGTCGCTTTGGCGCATTAGCTTCAGACAATGCGCCTCAAAGTGTCCGCAGTGCGTTAATCACCTCTCATACGCAAGGCACATCTCCAAATCACAAACTTATCTGTCAGCCTGACATGTGTTAAGAACACATTGAGCGTTAAATGCAATCAATGAGTCCCATTAGGGTCTGAACTGGGAATCCACGTTCCTCCACAGCAGCCCCCACAAACACACACAGACAAGCCCTCCACTCAGCATGTTGATTAGCGGTGTAAATATGCAATAAGTACTCTGTTTCCAGGCTGAATGGAGGCGATAATGGGCCGTTATCTTATCCCGGTCAGGGGGACATGCTGGTGCTGTTGACCCGCAGAGAGAAGCTGCTGCCGGGGAGGAAACGCGCTGATGTGCGCCCCAGGGAGCACGAGCGGAGGCTGGATAATGAGATGAATCGCAGATATAATGCTCAGCGGCTTCTGTCTGACATGGAAATAGGGTTATTATTCATTTACTCATGTGGGGAAGCGGAGAGGAAAACAAATAAAAGCCTTAATTACAGTTTCATGCAGCTTGTTGTCCCTGCAGATCTCCAGGTCCATTTATTAACTTCTAATTGATATACCTTGGAAGTGTTTATAGCATCTCATTCTAAAGTAATAATAATAATAATAATAATAATAATAATAATAATAATGTCATAATAATGATCAGACTCCAAGCATGGATGGCCTATCAGCATCCTGTTCCTGTGGAGGCTGAATGTATATTAAATAAAGACAACACTGTGTTGAAGTATGGGTGTATAGGCCTGTGGAGAAACCTGACATTTCTTGACGATTTGAAAATTGTTCAATTCATATTTATATTTAAATAACTTACTATATCACCTTTACCCCTAAACACGTATTATATATAAAGCAATAGAAAATCATGTTAAACACAGAAATGGAAAAAATAAAAATCCATAACATTAGTAGAATTATAATTTAAAGATTATGAGCCGGTTAATCAATGTATTTATTTATTTTTGGTGTTCGTTTTTAGATTTTACCTGCTCCTTTATTACGGACCCCCCCCCGTGTGCGTATAGGCCTACTAATGTAAATGTGTTCCATTAGATTATAATGCCTTCATTGACAAGGAAATAATCGGATTACTGTGTAGGAAGAGCCTCTGTGAGGCAGCAACAGTTTCCAAAAGTCTGCAAACAGTAGGGATTATCTTAATTGAATTAATTCTCAATACACACATCTGCAGCCGTCCGCGCGGCCGCTGATCCCAGAGCAGCCGCTCCGGAGTGACGTCAGCAGGGTATAAAAGCAGCGCAGCTCCCAGCAGATCCCATTTAAAGAGCCAGTCCGCATCCTCGAGACCATCAGTGCATGCATGGAACAAAAGTAACCCCAGAGTCACCATGACGCACTTCTAGGATAACTTGTTCTACGCGACACCGAAAGCTTCCCGTCCAGGACTTTCTCTTTACCGAGCAGTTTTCACTTCTACCACTTTCCCGCCGCCCTCCGGTGTGATGCCCGCCGGGATGTTCAGCATCGACAGCATCCTGTCCGGCCGGCCGAGCTGCAAGGAGCCGCTTCTGCTGCACCGGAGCGGCCCGGTGGTGCTGTCCGGCCTCACGGACTCCATCTACACCGACTACAACGGACTGTACTCGGCCACATGCGGGCCGTCTCCCCCCGGAGTTCAGACTATGAACGGGGCCAGGATAGGATATAACGGCTACTACTACGGACAGCTCCACGTGCAGGGGGCCGGGGGGGGGCCGCCGTGCTGCGGCTCTGTGCCCGGCCTCGGCCCGCAGCAGTGTCCCTGCATCCCGCCAGGTACGACCGAACACTGCTGATGTTTACCGACTTATATTTACACATCTTAAAATGTGCACATTATACTTAATGGAAGTAAAATTCAAACGGTATTTCCTCTGTGGGATTAAATAAGTGTGCCTTTATTAAAATAATAGAATGTGGACTTTGTGATGCGCCATTTCTTAAATAGTTTATTTGTTGCACCAGGGCTCGGTTTGAACAACATAAACACAGTTTAAATGGCATATTGTAATTCCATAAAGTTACCCTCAACCTTTATTGTGTCACCTTTAAGGCTTGTTATTTTGATGATGTCCTTTAATCTGTGAGAAAATTATTTGCGAAGACAAAAACATAATTGTTGTTCTTATGCATAAAATAATTAAAACCTTTATTGCATGAACTAACATCTTCAAATGCACCCACAAGCCAAACCATGCAGAACATATTGTAATCTTAAATCAGATGCTTGCGTGATGTCTTTATCCTGTTGTTATGACCTCAGCCCTGCTGCGGTTTACTGTCACTGAGCCGGCTCCAAACTGTTGCTTTACGCATGGACTTAAATAGATGCTTGTTTATGTACAAAAGGACCGATTGTTTTAAATCTGGAGTTTTTTTTATTCTAAGAAAACATATTCACTTACATAAAAGAGCCAACTCTTACATTTCAGATTTTCGTTCTTTTACGCAGCAGCTGTAATCTGCGTGTACAACCTCAGCCAGAGTTTCCAATTATCCACATAACTCAGAGCCCTGTTTATGTGTGTTTACGCGTTGTGACAGTAGGACCGTTCAGCCCTTAAACTCACTGCTGTATGGTCTTTCCTCCCCCGCCTACAGGCTACGACAGCCCGGGCTCGGTGCTGATCTCTCCGGTGCCGCACCAGATGATGTCCTACATGAACATGGGCAGCCTCTCGCGCACCGAGCTGCAGCTCCTCAACCAGCTGCACTGCCGCCGGAAGCGGAGGCACCGCACCATATTCACGGACGAGCAGCTGGAGGCTCTGGAGGGCCTCTTCCAGGAGACCAAGTACCCGGACGTGGGCACCCGCGAGCAGCTGGCCCGCAAGGTCCACCTCCGGGAGGAGAAGGTGGAGGTCAGAGATTCACCTTTTCATCACACACACACTCAGACTGCGGTTAGAAGTACAACACATGCAAACAGTATTAATGTGCTCTAAAATTAGATTTACGTTGTGTTTATTTAAAAAGATAGTAGGGCTTATTACAGTGACACAACAATTATTATTGTTATTATTTCTATTATTTACGCCTTTTCCTCAAGCCAACGGCCTTTGAAATGTATACAGCCTATATCTAAAGAAGAAAAAAGGGAGGTTAAATAATTTAGCTTTTGCCACTTCCAGAATAAAAACACATGAGTTCCTTAGAAACAGATAATTGTAATAATATTTAAACGTATTTATATTGCACATTTTACAGAAACTCCTCTCACAAAAACAGAACCTTTAAAACACAGATAATTACATGTGAATGAAAAATAAAAAGACTGTTAGATGGAAAACCACGCTAAACATTAACAATTATAGCCTAATAATAATAATAATAATAATAATAATAATAATAATAATAATAATAATAACAATAGCAAGGTACATTTACTATTAGGCTTCTAGTAATTTATTTGATCATTTATCGAAGAAAGAAAGTGTTTACTTACCGCGATAATACACAAGTAGCCTATAGGACATCAGGAATCTCTCATTTTAATTCGTTTATAAAAAGACCAATATCAATTGTATGTCATTAAGTTGTGAAATGTTGGACTAGGCCTATATCAATTAAATTGACTGGGGCTTCACGGGGGAAATTCCATATATTCACTCACACTGTTCAATGATTTAACACCAGAGGAAATACAAAATTAGTGTAATACACATTTTTTTAATTTGAATTGCGCGATACAATTAATAAATAAAGGGTTCATTCGAAATCCGGTGTTGTGTCAAATTATGCACCCCCGTCGTAAAATGCACCCCCTGGCCTGAAAATAAAAAATTAACTGAAAAATAAGTGACGAATGAATGCAAAATCCAGGATTCGACCACCCAACCATCAAAAAGACAACATAGAATAGCGGACTATACGTTCAAATGCGCGTTCCCGTGTCTAGGGGTGCATTTCACGACGGGGGTGCATAGTTTGACACGACACCTGTAGCCTATTAACTGGAAATGAGCTTTGTGCATTTAAAGTGGAGGAATCTGTTAATTGTAGGCTACTGTAAAAATCAAATACATACACTGAAATATACTCACAGGCTCTATTCGGGTTGACCGGGAATATTGAGGGCAAAACAAGAAAAATAAAAACCTTAAACTTAGATATCAAAACTGTGCTTTTTTATCACGTAGGTTTGGTTCAAAAACCGGCGCGCGAAGTGGAGGAGGCAGAAACGGTCTTCATCAGAGGAGTCAGAGAGCTCTCAGAAATGGAACAAATCCTCCAAAACCTCCACGGAGAAGCCGGAGGAGAAAAGCGAGGGGGACTCTGACAGCTGAGGACCCTGGGGGGCGAGTGTACAGGCGGCGGGGGGGGCATCCGCCGGGTTATGTTGGGGGGGGGGGGCATGCCGCGGGTTATGTTGCGATGTTGCACAGCTGTAAATATCTACGTTTTATTATTGATCCTGTGTCCGCTATTTATATTTAATTTAAGTTTTGTAATTAAGGTTACGCTGGCTCGGGGGGGTGGGGGGCATGTCTGAATATATGGTGATGTTATATGTGGATATTAAATGTTGTATTTCCGGTATTTTCTCCGTTGTGACATTATTCACTGCCGCAGGGGAACAGACTGTAAAAAACAGCTGAGTGAAATATCATCTTATTTTATTTTGCAAAAATAGCAAAGCTACTTAAAAGGACGAAGAGCATTCATTAAAAATATAAATGAAATGTCATCAACATGTTGTCCGACTTTTACTTTGAGACAAAAATTTGGGAGCACAAAATAGATTTTTCGAGAAAACGGGAGGGATTTAATTTAGTAAGCGTTTTAACGGAGAGGAAAACAAAAGCACGTCATCATTTCACATTTCCCGCGTCGATTGTATAGGTTAAAAAAAGGCATCGCCAATCATTTAAGCATCGAAAACGGATATGAATTTAAATAATATTGAAAATAAAGAGCTGTAGACTGTGTCAGGTGGAAGTATTAGAAGCCCCAGTCCGGCCAAAACACACATCTTTTAGAGACTTAATAATGGAAGGGCAATGACTCAAACCGTGCTGTCCTCTAACTGTTTACGGGTGCTTCTGTTCTGAAGCCTTTTTGCAAAATAATAATCCAAACCCTTTTCTCTTACCGTTGGAGTGTAGGCTATATTTCCCAAGGAAGACAAACATTACAGACAACTGTGTGACGCATTTCCGTTACGAGATTAAAGCGGAACATTATACAGTTTATTAGGTGGTGGAAGGTAGCCTAACTAAGTGCATGTACGTACTGTAGTTTATACTTCTACTTCACTAAAATCTGAATATTGTAGCTACTTTTAATTAACTCATTTATTGACAACATTCGTTACTAGTTACTTTTGTAGGTTTAAATTATGAATACATAAATAAGTCAGCTATTACATTATGATGTAGCCTACTATTATGGAAAGAGATATGTGACAGTATAAAAATGTATTGAAAATGTGTTTCTAATCATTTACGAGCTGCACAATTAAACTGACAAAAACATGAATGCATCACTCATTATAAACCAGTGATATAATATATTACTCAGAAAATAGACACTTTCGAAAATGTAGATTTGGTTCTTAAATATGTGGTTCTCAACAGTATATAGTTTACTTTTAACAAAATATGTCTACACTGCGGTATTATTATTTTAACTTGAGTGTAAGACCACAGTTATGGCAGAGCTGCTGTATTGAATTGCAATAGATTATATAAGTGTTCTTCATAAAGTGAGAACAAAATATATTTCAAAGTAGTGTGAGATTGTCTCAAAGAATGTGAGGTGTGTCATTTTTAAATGTAGCTTGTCATTATTGCACTCTGGTTAAATAAAAGACAACTAAGCATCAGCGTGGATGAAGGGAAATATATTTGGTTTACACAGTAAGATGCACTTATTTAGCCGCAGGGCCCCAGATAAAAGGAGTAGGCTATAACATAATTAAAACGTTAAGTATTTAGGCTGTTTTCAGTATGTTTACATTCAATATATCAATGTTAAGCACAACAAATCAAATCTAATATTTATGCTATGAAAAAAGGAATACAATATGCCATAAATATAACTGAAGATATGCTGGATAAGAATACAATTACAAAATTCTAAATTCTAAAAATAATAAAAATAATTTGAAAATGAAATGTTGTATTTGTGCCAGCTCAAAGCTTTGTTCTGGTGGGTGCTTAAGTTTTGTAATCACGATGACCTTCATGTTGCTAAAGTTCTTTCTACGACCTTGCAACTAAAGATTATTTCTAAACTATTAATAAATCCTAAACATTTTAAAGACAGACATGTTTTACCTTAAATGTGTGTGGTCTTTCCATCAGTTGTGCAACTTTTGTCCTCCCGTGGTTTAGTTAAAGCTTTAAATAATCACCCAAATCTGTGTTACACCTTTTTAGCCGCAACTTCATTTCAACTTTCATTTCATTGGAGGTCTCCCTTGAAAAAGAGATCGATGATCTCAATGGGATTCACCTGGTTGAATAAAGGTTTGAAATGAAATGAAACTCATTACTGTAAGTTTTACTTTTCTTTTTGGGATGTATGGTCAATAGATATAATTTCCACAAATTAAAAACAAATGATTGAGTTCAAAAAGGCAAATAATTGGTATTATTTGACTATAGTTCGAATCAGAGGAACATATCTCGATGGATAATCACTGGTGTGTGTTAAGTCAGGATTTAGTTCTGGAAACATTTCAAATCGTTTTAATGGCAGCACAGAAAGACAATATGCATTTTGTTATTGACAGATAATTCAATGGCATTAGTGATCATAATTGTTCTTGCAAATAATTAGTGAAGAACCATCCATGTCATTTTTGTGACAATTGGATGACACGAAACCTTATTTCGTATTTACATAGAGAACTTTAGAAACGCGTCAAATTGACCCAAAGACAACAGGAAGAATAACTAACTGAAACCTACATGAAACCCCCGAGGAAACTGAAGCAGCAAAGCCCCACCATTTTTGTCTTCATTTTTATTTTATTCAATTCATTGAACTAACAATTTTGGTGCTCTTTACCATCAAATAATGGATATACGCCTTATTAATATCTGATGGTGTTTGACCTCTGACCCTCAGTGACAGCAGCCTCATTGGAGATCACTGTTTTTCACCGGAACAATCCAGTTATATATATATCAATCTATTTATAACATACACTGAGGAAATGTAGTCTACCGGTTCAGATCCAGTGTTCTTATTATGTCTATAAAAAACAATTAAACCATGCTAAGAAAAAGTACATCATGAATAAAAATACATTAATCATTCAGAATGTTATTCATTTTCTCAGAAGACTCTATACTCATCTGATGGTTTTAAAAAGATTAAACTTCACTATTCTTTTTTTAGATTCTTTTTTGGGTCACCGTTGCCTTTTAATGGAGAGACAGAGGGTCTCGGGTCGGATTCGAACCCTGCTCCTCCGTAGAAGGGACTGAGCCCAGCTCGGACAAGTGCTTACTCTTCATATAATGAAGCTTTTATTGGTGATAGCTAACAGATATTCAGATGTTTCCATGCCAAAGAATATTAACACAATTCAATACTTTCTAGTGTACGTTATTCTTGTCAGCTGACAGCAGCATTTTGGGGATCACATGAAATAAAAGCCATAATACTGACATTCTTTTATGGCTCATGTTGTTTCCCATTCTTTTGTGGGGATTTCCAATCAAACTAAAGCCTGTCTTGCTCTTTGACAGCGTATCAAACACCAGGCATGTGTGTGGATGTTATAGGCAGCGCTGGAATAGTACTCGCATAGTATTTATTGTCTGTGTACAAATACACTGTTACAAGTAAAAGTCTTGCATTCAATTTTACTTAAGCAGAAGTACAAAAGTATTTGCATCAAACTATCAAAACAAAAAACACTCATTAAGCCAAATGGCCTTTTTTCTGAATACTTTTTTTATTATAAGGCTGGACTATTATTAGAGACCTTTGTGCAGATGGTAAAGGTGGATCTAATTGTAATAACTATGTATACTGCTGGGTATATTAATCCTTAATACATACAAATATTAAGAGCCTGCATAGTAACTACAGTTTTCAAATAAATGTAGTGAAGTAAAAACTTTAAAGTATTATAAAATGAAGTACTTCAAAATTGTACTTAAGTACTTCAGTAAATCTACTTAGTTACACTGAGTTTCAGTGGGCTTTATGAAGGAACACTTCAGCATGTTGGCTATTTCTCATCAAATGACCTGATGCTTCATTATGTGACACAATGAATAATCTGATAATCATATTATGAAAGAACAACATGTTGGAACAAAAGAAGGAACAGAGCACTACATAATGATGAGAGGTCATATCTAAAGTGACAGCTGGCTCTTGCACAGATACATATTTCATTTAATAAAGATGTACTTTTACCCTCCAGGAGATAGAACATGAATATATCATAAAGCTGCAGGGGGGAAGCCTCCATACTTTTTGATAAATGACGTAATGCTCATTCATATTTAAAATCTGACACCTTGTTCCTGTGGATCAGTGACCAAATATGGTCTGATATAAATCCTACTTTGATACAGTCTTTTTTACAATCATCTGCATCTGTGTAAACCCTTCATGAGCAGAGATGCTCAATTATTTTGCATTACTGGCTGCTTTTGCCATGTTTTTTATGAATGAGTTTATATTTCTACATGTGTATTTAAGTTGTATAAGTAGAGCCAAATAAACATCCAACTGAACTTCAAATGAGTTAGTTCTGCTTTGAAGTGACAGCTCGACGATGGCAACAGACTGAGCAGTTGTAACTGAGCGTTTGTTCTCGGTTATGAATAAAGTGTTATGATCAGAGGCAGCGTGACGACATGCAGCGTCACTGGGATTCATTTTGATCTCAGCTCACTATACATTTATTAATACATCTATAATCTAGCTGAAAACATGTTATCGGAAGATTTGAATTTCAATATTTTAAATCAAGTTTCATATATTGCTTCATTAAAAGGATTCAATAACATGTCCTTATTAGGCAGGTTGCAAAAATGGGTAAACCTGTTTGCTATGGAATCTATATCAGCTTAAGTTACATTACACTTTTTTAAATATCATTTTCTTTCAGTAAGATTCAGTCAAATCCATACATCTACAATAAGAATGTCATCAAAATGTGTTACACCAACTATAAATACAGTGTTTTTATAACATGACAGATATAGTCCTCATTGTGTTCTGCTGCTCCAACACTTCCATCTGTCTCATCAGCAGCTACTCCTCATTGGATTTGGCACTTTGGGACTTTGGCACTTATACCTCATTCACACCAACG